ATTTTAAAGCTCTTCAAGTAGTCAGCCATAGTGGCACACACCTGTAATCCCACCACTTGGGAGGCTGAGGCAGGAGGATTGCTGTGAGTTTGAGGCCAGCTTGTACTACATATTGAATTCAAGACCAACCTGAACTATATAGTGAGATCCTGTCTCAACCCCACCCCTAAAATAAAGCTCTCCAAGCACTCTGCACCCCTTACAATTGGTGCACTAATTGCTAACATCTATTATTATTACCAACTCCCCAATTCCCTCTGGAATTACTTCCTCATAGCACCAAACTGTATTTTAGTTACATAGCCATGTTTTCCTCTGCTGGGAGGACTAGGGAAGTCAGGATGTACGTGCTCCTTATAAATGGAGGCAGACGTGCAGAATGAACAGGCAATTACAGTTAAGATGTTAACAGTTTCAATATGGCAGCAGTAGAGATCAAGCCAGTGCAGCTCTCTGCTCCAGACCTGGTCCAGCACTGGCCCCAGGGAAAGTGTCTGATGGCTGCAGGCACTGATTGAGAACAGGGAGGTGGAGGGGAGCCCTAAGGAGCAAGAAGGGAGCTTGTCAGTTTAGATCTCTGTGATAGGGAGAAGGTAGAAATAGATGTATCCCTAGGGAAGATTGTACTAGACATGTGTTCTGTGCAAGACCCTCAGCCAGGCCCTTGAGAGGAAAGGCAGGCTGCTGGAAGAGGAGATGAAGGAAAAAGGTTAAGGGAAAAAAAAGGTAAAAAGAGGCCAGCGGGGTCCCTCAAGAGGGGAGTGGATTGGGGAAGAAAGGCAACTTGTGGCAGAAGGGCTGCAAGCTCACCCCAGGGCCCATGAGCTCACCCAGTAGCCTTCTGAGTGCATTCTCAGGTCGAGAAAATCCTCGGGAGCCATCCAGGTCCTCCGTGTCCAGGGTCACCTCCTAGAGTCCTTGCAGTCCTGAACATCTAACGGTGATGAACTTCTGGAGAGGGAAGATTTGTTTCTTCTGGCTTTATTTAGTTATATGGAGGGCTTACTTCTGAGATCCCAGTAAATCACTCACTGCCACTTTAAAAGACTAAATTCATTTTAAAAAGCATGTTTTCTGGGTGGAGTTCACAGAGATGAAAGGGAAGATACACCCCTTCTGGGAAGACCTCTTATAGATGCCAGGGATGCACTGCCTCCCTCCACTCTACAAAGAGAAAGAAAGAAAAGGCCTTCTTGTTGGAGTGAAACTAAGCTGAGCCAAAGAGATCACACTCAGCAGGGAGGCTGTGTCACAGTCCAACTCTCCTGTCCACCTCCTGGTGTCGCTCAGTTCCTGGACTCAGTCCTGCCTCCTTCCTATTAGCATCTCTGTCTACATAGCTATACATTATCTACATCCTACATAAGGTAAACAGGAAAAAGGAGTCAGGAGTTTATGAGGAAAAGCCCCCAATCTTCTTGGTGCATGAGAACAGAAAGGGTCTTGTGTAAGACTCTGAGAGAATGCAGAGGGATTCTCAAGAACTGGGCTGAGAAAAGATTGCAAATGAATCTTAAACACGGACCGCAGGTCCCACGTGGAGCACTTTGTGATGAGCAGGAATACATTGCTGTTGGAGGAATGAAGGAGGACAGTTTTCAAAGCCTTTCAGTGTGTTTCATATATAAGATTAAATTTGGGAAGGCAACTTTTGGGAGGCATAGGAAATGGGAATGAGGAGTAGAAATATCAAAGGGACCTTAAAGAAATGACATTGTTCAGAGGATGCTCCCAAGTGCTTACTTGATCCGTGATGCTGACCTAGGATTAGGATCCAGCACTCCTGTCTCATGAGCTTCTGTACTGTCTTCAGCTATCTTTGTTGCTGGTCACAGACCTGGCAGGTTCTCAAAGTCTTTAACTCCCTGAGTGCTCCTTCCAGGTGGGGAAGGCAACCCCAAGTTGCCTTTTTACAAATAGAGAGAAATTGCATGTCAGTCTGTTTAGGCTGCTATGAAAAACACCATAGACCAGGTGGTTTAGAATCAATAGACATTTATTCCTCAAGACTGTGGAGGTTAAAAGTCCAGGCTGGAGGTGCAGCAGGCCTGGTGTCTACTGAGGGCCACTTTCCCTTCTAATGGTGCCATCTTGCTGTGTCATCCTTCAGTAGAGTGGAGGAAGAAACTTTTTAGGGTATCTTATGAGGACAGTGATTCCACATGACATAATCCTCTCCTAAGGCCATCACATGGGGGTTTTGCTGGAACTGCAGCAGTGATGTCCCCCTGATCGTGAGTCGAGGAGGAGGCTGAGCCCAGCTCTGCTGCCCCATCTCTCAGCTGCAGGTGCTTGTGCCAAGGGACCATGGCAGAACTCTGGGAGCCCTGAACATAGTCTGATGACTCTGGTGCTATGACTTTCTCATGGCATGGAGGCGAGAACATGAGCTTCCAGATCACGAAAAACAGCCCCTCTGCAGGATGCTGACAAGTTCTATTGATCTCATGCACTGAGTCTAAAACAGAGGCTCTGAAGAGCAAGGAACAGACTCCTAGGACAAACAAGTGCCCCTCCCATCCCAGCCTGTGGATGTATCCTCGCACCTCATGCTGTTCCTCTCTTGCTTGTGAGAGGCAGGTGTGAGATGCACCTGGGTGTCCCAGGCTGGCCACACTATGCACAGGAATTTCTAGCCTAGTTGTTTGATCAACAGGAGCCACAAATCTTAACACCCTTATGTCCTAAATGTTCATAATAACACAGTGACTTTTGAGTTAACATATGAAGACCCCAATTTATGTTGCACAACAGAAATTTTGTTCTTCTGCTCTAGAAACTGCCCAGTGGAGTATGTCCAAACTTCCCATCTTAAAAAAATTGCCTCTGGACTAAAATCCAAAAGGCAAGAGTCCAATCCACAAAGGATACTGTACCAGTCAGTATTTACTAGAGAAACAGATATAACACAAGATATACAAATATATATGAATTTATAAGACTGGCTTACAATGGCCACCCACAGAGTCAGATGAGGAAGAGTCCAGAGGGTCTGTCGCACACTGGAGATTGGATTTAGTTGGATTTAGTTGGAGGTCTGGAGCTCACTGCAGTGCCCCATGGGAGTCTGTATCAGGAGGCTGATGAGTCGGCGATGGAAGGCTGAAGAGTCTACCCCAGAAGCTGAAGTATCTGCACTGGAAGCCGAAGTCTGCACCGGAAGCCAGGAGAGGACATCCAAGGTGAAGGTGACGACTGGAGCTCCTCCGAAGAAACAGAAGCAGATCCATCCTTCTTCATTCCCTTTTATACCATCCAGTTGGGGAGCCGCCCTAGGCTGGGTCTTCCACACCCTAGGGTATGGATTTAATTAAGCTTCTCTTAACTAAACTTCTCAAATCGACACAGTCAACCATCACAGACACTTTGTGTGTGTGTGTGTGTGTGTGTGTGCGCGCGCGCGCATGCATGTAATTGAGGACTGAACCCAGATCCTTTGCATTGAGCCACCCTCCAACTTTTAAATTTCAAGTCAGGGTCTCACTAAGTACTAAGTCATTAAGTTGCCCAGGCTGGGCTCAAATTTGTGATCCTCCTTCCTCAGCCTCCCAGAGTTCTGGGATTACAGGTATGTGCTAACACACCAAACTAAAGCACATTTTAAAAGGTCATGATTCTAGTAATATCCCAGATTCTAGTAACATTGTAGGAGGGTAGAAGTTTTTATGGTAGGAAATTATATCTACGAATAGAATGTATTTTTGGCAAGTTTCACCAAAACACTTTGAGCAACTATCTGTCTGAGACTACTGAAGCCACCCTTTTCCTCGCCATCTTGACTTCGGTATGAAATTCATCTTTGAGGACATCATCAACGACTTCAAGTTTGGTCAGCTGCTACCCAAAAGCAAGGTGACAACTATAAGTTGCCTTTCAACCTCATCAACCTCTTGTTGGTAAGAGAATTCCTGATTGTATGCAGGGCTCACTGGAGCTTACAAAGGCCTCATCTTTCTCAGCCTCCTTTAAAAATTTTTTTTCTTTCTTTTTTGGTAACGGGGATTGAGCCCAGGGCCTTCACATTGAGCTACATTCTCAGCCCTTTTTGAATTTTTATTTTGAGGCATCTTCTCCATAAGTCACTAAGTTGCCCGGGGTTGGGCTCAAATTTAAATCCTTCTGCCTTAGCTTCCCAGAGTACTGGCATTAGAGAAGTGCACCATCGAAACTGGCTTTTCAGCCTCCCTTGAACAAGGTGTGGCCAGTAGAGGAAGTTTGGGCAAAGGGGTGGCAAGCAGGCAATCTCTGAGTTACTTCCTCAAAAGGGCAGGGCTGGCCTGCTGCTGCTCCATGTGACTGGGGCTGGGTCCCCGCAGGGCAGTCTGCCAGGTGCTGTCCACTCCCTGGGTGACCCACTGTGGGCCCCTTTGTTAACAGCTCAGCTCTGTTACTCCTGGTGCAAGAGGCCAGGCTGCAGGTATGACTTCAGCACCAGCAGCAGCAGGAAGCCCCTCCACCCCTCACATTTACTTCCTGATCCCTCTGCCGCCTATCCTATCCAAGTTTTATTAGAGATGGGGGCCCCGTCCTGATTGTCAAATGCCATGGAAACATCTCGAGCAGAATTGCTGTGAGCAGTGCTCTGGGCCAGAACGTGACGTCAGTGAGGTTTTGAGCCCTTGGGAAGTCAGCCACTGCCAAGGAGGCCCCGAAGGCTGTGGGTCATGGAAACTCAGCTGGACACTAGTCTAGCTGATAAGGCTAATCTCTACCAGGAACAGTCCTAGTCGGAGAGAGGACAGGCTATCAGGCCCACGGCCTCCCATCTGGTTCAAATAATGCTCTGTGTGCCCATACCATAACCCTCTTCTCTCCTCAGGCGGAGCTGCTGCAAATTCTACACGGCGGGACTGTGGTTCTCAAACATCTATTCACTCATTCATCAAGCATTTGCTGAGGGCCTACTGTGTGCTTGGAAGCCCCCTGTTCTTGAGGGACTCGCATCACAGTGGGGAAGACAGACTGTAAATGTGACATGGGAGGTGCTGGTGAGCAGAATGTGGTAGTAGGAAGAAGTGCAGTCCAGGAAGCTCCCTCTTAGGCTAATAGGCACAGGGACTGTTGCCTGAGCTAGAGTCACACCCCTGTGTCCTGGGGCAATAGGGATCTGGGTGAGGTGAGGGATAGAGAGGAAGCCATGTGGCAAGGTCACAGAACATTCAGAGGGTAGAGGGCAAAGGGCAGAGGTCAGAGCCGTAGATGGGTCCAGATGGTGTGGGGCTGCATAGGCTCAGAACTCGAGTTTAGACTTTAACTACAGTATGAAGTCATTGGAGGGTTTTAAACAGAAGGACATGCCTGATTTGCATATTAAAAAGATCACCCAGCTGCTGTGTAAAGAATGCCTTTTAAAGGCACAAAAATAGAAATAGGAAGGCCAGTTAGGAGGCATTGCCGTCATCTTGGCAAGAGGTAATAACTGCTATTATCCCCATTTCACAGAGGCCAGAGATGTAATTTATGCAAATGCACACAGCAGGTAGTAATAATGTTTTACTTTTATGTGCATAGTGATTTCAATTTTAAAAGCATTTTCACCTATAGCATTTCATTTGAACTTCAGAATAACCTTGTGATAAATTATTATCCATTTCTTAGGCTGAAAGAAGTCTCCAAGAAGATGGTACCTGGTTTAACCCTAGGTCTTCTGACCCGACCTGGGCTCTTTCCACTCGCCTGTCTCCATCTGCCAGGGCTTTCCAAGTCAGAAGCAGTGGGTGGAGAACCCAAAGCAGGTAACCAAGCACCCAAAGTCCCATAGACTCTGCCCCAGGGCACAGGAGGAGGTCTGGGTGCTGAGCTCTGCTGTAGCTGCTGAAGAGGGTTGGACAGCAAAGGAGATAGGATGTCCTCTGCTTCCAGGCAATTGAAATCTCATTGAATAAGTTGGGAGGTCTTCCATAAATAATTTAAGAGTGCTACACAAATTAAAAGCCATATCCAAGGACAAATAACTTTTGGAAGAGCCTAGATTTTTTTTTCCTTGTGGCAAATGGGACTTTTTTACATGGGCCTTAATAGTTATCAGGCTGCGAACTAGGTCAGCCTTATTGTCTGAATAGTGCTGGACAGGGCAAGTCCTTTCCAAAGTGACCTCAGCCAGCTATTGCACCTAGAGAACCTCCCAAAACTTAGTGCCAGGTGTGATCACCATCGTGTTCTCCTCATGGATCCCGTGACTCAGAAATCTAAGCTGGCTGTTCTCTAACCCAGCTTGAGAGGACTTGACTGGCCAGGAGTGGAATCCTCTAATCCCCATGTGGCTAGCATGTGGGCTGGGGAGATGCAGGGTCTGCTGCCTGGCCTGTTTTTATGTGGTCCCTCCATAGCCTGGGGGCTCCTCACCACACTGTAGCTTCCTGGAAGTCCTACATCTGCTGGGTAGGTCAGAGTCCAGCAGTGAGGGCCGCCACCTGGCTCTTATACCTCCTTGGAGGCCCACAGTGTTACCTCCATCCTGGTCAGCTGGGTACAGCATTGCAAGGCCAACCCCACTATAAGGAGGGTGCGGAGGCCCTGCCTCGACAGGGAAGAACAGAGGTGTTTACAGCCTCAGGAGAACCACCACCATCCCTTCATGCCTCGAGCAGATCCTCTCAGGTGGAGGATTCATGAAAATGAGAAATGAGATTTGGATTTTCTCTTTTATAGCTATTGCCTCTGGACAGCAAAGATATCTTTTGATATTCAATGAATTGGAGCAAGAATTGTGCTGTTATAATCAATTAACTATGAAGTTTTAGCCCATTGGCTGGAACTGAGTGGCATCTGCTGTTATTGACTTTCGTTTGAGGCTGTCGGTGCACTTAAGCCCTCAGTGCATGGAAGAGTCTGGCTGGCCAGCAGAATAAAGGAGTGATTGCCTGTCCACTTCATCAGGTTTTAAATGATGCAAGAAAAATATTCACTACAGGAGAATGCTGCTGATTATTAATGAATCTACTTTTTCATTAAAGTGAGTCCAGCAGGACTTATACTGGGAAATACTTAGAATTAACAGAGTTATGTGTTTGAGATAAAAATAAAAAGACAGAGCCCTTGAAGAGAAGAAAATGCCTATGAATAAAACACCTGGGAAAAGTGTGGTTTTGTTGTGAGTCCCCTGGAGGCCCATGGGCTGCTGCCTCACCAGCTCTGGCAACAAGTACGGGATGATTTCAGTGATATAACAAAGGAGAACAGGCTTCTCCTCTGTGGAAAAATATGACGTGTGTGTCCACATGATAAAAAAAATCTGTGTTAGTTTGAACTTCTTCCATTGCTTCTTAAATAGCTTTATTGAGATATAATCACAGACCATAAAATCTACAATTTAAAGTGTACAACTCATTGGTTGTTGGTGTATTCACAGTTGTGCAGCTGCCTGCACAGTTTGAATTTAAATGGTTGTCATCACCCCAGAAAGAAACTCCACCCTTTAGCATCACTCTCCCACATCTGTATCCCCAGCCCCAGGGAACCACCATTTGGTTCTCTGCGTTTGCCTGTTTCTGGACATGGCATGTAATAGGAGTAAAGTGTTCTTTGTGTCTGGGTTCTTCCTCTCAGTGTAATGTCACTGAAGTTCATCCACGCAACAGTATTTCATTCCTTTCTATTGAGAGAAGCAGTACTCCACTGTAGGGATGTATCACATCTTTACCCTTTTATCAGTTGATGCACATTTGATTTTCATTTTTTGTTTATTGCGAATAATACTGCTATGAACATTTGGGCCCACATGTTATGTGGGACAATGTTTTTATTTCTCTTACATGTGTACTCAAGAGTAGAGATCTAGGCCACATGTGATTTCTTGTGTAACACTGTGAAGACTGCCAAAATGTTTTCCAAAGTAACTGCACCATTTTACATTTTCACCAGCAATGCATGAGAGTTCTAGTTTGTCCAAGTCTTTGTCAATACTTGTTATTGTCTGTTTCTTTTTTATTATAGTCACCCCAGTGGGCATGAAGTTGTGCTCCCTTGATAATTAGTGATGTAGAACATCTTTTCCAATGCTTTTTGGCCATTCATTTATCTTCTTTGGATACTTGTCTACTCAAATCCTTTGCCCTTTTTTTTTTGTTACCAGGGATCGAACTCGGGACCTTGTGCTTGCGAGGCAGGCAGTGGAACCAGTGAGCTAAATCCCCAGCCTGCCTTTGCCCATTTTTAATTGGGTTACTTGTCTTTTGTTTTTGTTTTTTTTTTGGTACTGGGGATTGAACTTGGGTCCTTGCGTTTGCAAGCCAGGTGGCAGGCGACAGAACCACTGAGCTAAATCCCGGCCCAACTTGTCTTTTTATTATTGAGTTTAAGAGTTCTTTATATAGTCTGGATACAAGTCTTTTGTCATATACAGAACTTTCTAATATTTTCCCTCATTCTGTGGTTTACTTTTACCCTTTTTGGTACTGTTGTTTGCAGCACAAAAATTTTAAATTTTACAAAGTCCAATTTATCTATTTTTTCTTTTTGTGTGTATGCTTTTGATGCTATATGTAAGAAACCTCTACATAACTCAAGATCACAAAGATTCGCTTTATGCCTTTTTTTTCCTGAGTTTTATTATTTTAACTCTTCCATTTATGTCTGTGATCACTTTGAGCTGATTTTATGTATGGTGAGAGGGTTCAAATCTACTCTTTTATTTGTGGATATCCAGTTGTCTTCTACCGTTTGTTGAAAACTTGATTCTTTTCCCCATTTAATTATCTTGCTACTTTTGTGGAAAATCAGCTGATCATAAGTGACAGGGCTTATTTCTGGGCACTTAATTCCATTCCATTATATTTTCCTTCTGCCAGGACCATGCTGTTTTGATTGCTATAGCTGTAGAGTAAGTTTGAAATTGGGAAGTGTGAGATCTTCAACTTTATGTTGTTTTGGCTATCCTAGGCCCCTTGCCTTTCATATGAATTTTAGGATCAGCTTATCAAGTTTTGCAAAAAAACGCCAGTTGGGATTTTGGCAGAGATTATTTTAATTCAATAGATGAATTTGGGAAGAATTGTCATCTTAACATTATTAAATCTTTTGATCCATGGCTTTGGGGAGCTTTCTATGTATTTAAATCTTTAATTCATTTCAGCAATGGTTTGTAGTTTTCAGTATATAAGTCTTATATTTATTTTGTTAAATTTATCCCTAACAAACTTTCATTTTTAGTTGACAAACATTTATATAGATTTATAAGGTACAATGTGATGTTTAATATGTTTATATATTATGGATTGATTAGATCAAGTTCATTAACATATTCATCACTTAACATACTTACCTTTTCTGTGATAAAAACATTTGAAATTTACTCTCAGTAATTTTGAGTTATATATTATTATAACTATAGTTCCCATGCTGTGCCATGGATCTCAAAACCCATTCCTCTTGTCTAACTGAAACTTTATGCCCTTTGATCAACATCATCCCCAGCCCCACCCACAGTTCCTTTTAACCACCGTTCTCTTCTCTGTTTCTAAGAATTAGGCTTTTTAAGGTTCCACATATAAGTGAGACCATGCAGGGTCTGTTGATCTGTGCCTGGCTGATTTTACTTAACATAATGTCTTCTAGGTTCATCTATATTGTCACAAATGGCAGAATTTCCTTATTTTTATGGCAGACTAGTAGTCCATTGTGGGTATGCCACATCTTCTTCGGTCATTCATTCATTGATAGACACCCAGATGGATTCCATCGCTTGGCTATGTGGACAGTGCTACAGTGAACATGGGGTCCAAGTGTCTTTTCACACACTGATTCCATTTCCTTTGGTGTGAACCCAGATGTCAGATTGCTGGATCATACAGTAGTTCTAGCGTTTTGAGAAACCTCTACATTATTTCCCTAAAATCTGTGCTAATTTACATTTTCACTAAGGTGTACAGGGCTTCCCTTCTCTCAACATCCTTACCAGCATTTATAATGCTTCATCTTTTTTTTTGTTTTGTTTTTTGGTGCCAGGGATTGAACTCAGGTCCTTGGGCTTGCACAGCAGACAGCAAAACCACTGAGCTAAATCCCTGGCCCTTTGCTTCATCTTTTTGATAAAAGCCATTGTGCTAGTGTGCAGCTACTAAATTTCTGCTCTGTTAGCTTACTGGTCAGCTAGTGATTTACTAGAGATTTCCATAAAAGCCTGGACCTGGCAGGTCTTTGCTTTGCCAAGGGTCTGTGAGTTGGCATCTCTTCAGTGTGCAGATTGCAACTCTAGTCTTACTTCCGGCTGTGCAGAGCCTCGTGGTCAGCCAGAGAGCTAAGAGACTGGGACCATCCTGAGCCTTTACTGGACTTTGTGGAACCTTCCCATCCCTAAGAATGTGTCGGAGCTTTTCAAAGCCCCCGTGAACATGCTCTTCACTAGATGTTCATTTCACACTTAGGCCAAATTCTTGGTTGTCCTGGATTGCACTGTCACTGCAGCCTCCCACAGTGACCGTGTTGAACAGCGGCAGTGTGTAATCTTGGACAAATTCCGTGCATCTAGAGCTTTCCTGTGGCATGAGCTCTGAGTGAGGCCAAATATCAACAATGCTCCATCAATGGGACTTTTCTGGGAGTCTGAAGGACAGTTAAATAATGACAGAGCTCTGCAGACAGAACAGTTAAGGAGCTTCAGATCCAGTCTGTTTCCTCTGGGGGCTGCAGCTTGCTGGTGTTGTGGCTGCTGGAGATAGGGGACTGCAGTTACCAGGCCATTGTGGACCTGAGTTGAATGGAATGAGAGCAGGCCAAGTTCAGACACCACACACCCTGCTGTCTTATCTAGGTTCAGCAGATTTTCCTGAATAAATATTCTTCACATTGTTGTAAACCTTTGTTTAATTTCCAGAGTTCTGGAAAAAGTTGGTTTTAACTATTTTCCCATTGTTTTTGTTAGTTTATGGGGACAGATGTGTGGAGGTATTCACTCTGCCTGTCTTCCATTGTTATTCAGGACCACTACTATTTGGCTGAGCCAGAAAAATATATCAAGGTATTTCCTTTCCTAAAAGGCATTTTGGAAAAGCCTTTAGTCCACTAGATCTTTGATAATGTTCTGTAGCCAAGCTAGGAATGAAGAGCTCACACTTGTGATCTTATTGACTTGGGAGGCTGAAGCAAGAGGATCTCAGGTTCAAGGCCAGCTTGAGAACTCAGTGAGACCTCATTTCAAAATAAAATAAAAAGTGTTGGGAGGGCAGCCCAGTGGTAGAGCATTTGCCTAATATGTTCAAGGTCTGGGTTGTATCCTTAATAATACACATACACACACACACACACACACACACAGAGTTCTGTAGACAAATACATGCAAAATCTACCCCGTTCTTGGAAGTTTCAAGGGTGTTGGCCTCTTCCAGATGCATCAGAGGACAGTCCTTGAACTGCACGTGCATGAGTGGCAAGGTCACCTGCTCTTCTTTCCCTCCAGCCCACTGAGCATCCCCTGTGAGTGACTGTGAGAGGGTGAGGGACATGTAAGTCTCGAAAGGAGGAGGCAAGGTAGTGACTAGCCCCATAGTTTCATTTTTTTCTTTTGCCTACTTCTCTTTTACTAATTTTACAGTGACCATACATTTCTTCATTTTTAAAAAATAATTTTTATATTTATTGGTACATGCTTGCAGTTTGTAATGACTACATTCGTCATGGGCAGTTGGTGCAGGTACATAACACATCTGAATTCTTTTCACTTCTCCTTTCTCTCTCTCCCCTCCCCCTCCATCCATCTCTTTCATAATTTTACTAAGGAGGAAAAACAGGATCATTGTAAAAAATCATCTCTGTAAATTAAATAACAGAGAAAGAAAGAGAGAGAAACAGAAAGAGAGACAGAGGACAGGGAAAGAGAGAGAGAAGTAATAATAGTTTACTTTCAAAGTCCCCAGAATAGCCTGCAGCCTCATATCAGTTGCCTGTTCTGTGGTCTCATTGAGCTTCCACCTGCTGCTGTCCTGGGGCAGTAGCCTCCACAGTGGGCTTTATTAATCTGTCCCTGAGCTCCAGGCCTCCTCCATGCTCCCCCCAGACTTGCCTGTTGGGCCATTGTGTGCCTTGACCTTGCTGTGGGATCACTTCCTCTTGGTGTTTACGGTAAACCCCAAGAGCGGACTGTGTATGCCTGCATTCCCTGGTCCAAACAGCAGCCAAGTATGGAGCTGAGCTTCCTGCTCTGGGGCCTCCGGTCACGGATGTCCACAAGGAGATTTTCCTGCACCTGTGCAGGGCCACAGGACTGTGTAACCCACAACTCCAGACTCAGCTCTGGTGGCCTCAGCCACTTGGACCCTGAGTGTCATGAACTGCATTATGACATATCTAGATGTCCCCCAGAGCCTCATGTGGTCATAGGTGCAGCTTTTTGGAGCTGGCTCATTCTAGGGTGTGTGATGCTGGGATCAAGGATGTGATGCTGGGTTTGATTCACAGTGTGATGCTAGGAATAAGGGTGTGAGTGGTACCCTAAGGGCGAATAGCCCGATAAAATATAAGAGACTTGTTTGCCTTCTGTTGTGCGATGCTCCTCCGCCATGCCACCCTGCCTTGGAGCCAGCCAACTATGAACTGAAACCTCTATAAACTGTGAGCTACAATAAACCTTTTCTCCTTCAACTTTGAGGGTCAGATATTTTGTCTCAGCAACGAGAAAAGTAACTAAGACAACTGTCTGTGTCTCACCCAATGTCTGTGTGTCTAAGATCTCGGAGAGTCACTGTGCTCTGGTCTTTAAAGGGGTGATTAAGTCAGAATGAGGTTGTTAGGGTCAGAATGAGGCCTGGCCCAGTGAGACTGGGGTCCTCGTGAGAAAAGGTAAAGCCACAGACACACACAGAAGGACACCAACAAGGACACGGGGGAGACAGCATCTGTGGGCCAAGGAGAGAAACTCAAGGTAGTCGCCTTACCCATAGTTCATCTCAGACTCCAGCCTCTAGACAGGCGAAAGCCGTGTCTATGGACCTGTCACGGCTGCGCGCTGGCCCGGAGGCCCTGCCCGGGGCCGTCCTCACTCACACTGCCCACTGACACCGGGGTCCCTCCCACTACCATCTCAACCTTTGTCAGTGGGGCGTTGCTTTGGGGAATTTTCTACTGAGCTCTGGAGAGCCTGTATTAGT